AAACATTTTCTGATTTTAATAAATATTTAAAAAATACTAACTAGTTAATATTTTATTACTTGAAAAATATTTTATGTTTTATATTATAAAGTAATTAATTTATTCTTTTGTTTTTATTTTTTGTTAATTATTTTTTATAAATATTTTATTTGAAATATTAAATAGAAATTATTAATGGAATAATTTATATTAATATACTGTATTATACTAATATAATATACTAATGTATTATATTATTAATGTGCATTAGTTGACATCTTGTCGACATCCTGTCGACATAATAGGAAAAACTGTCTTTTTTTTTTTTGGTTATTTGGACTGATTTGGTTGACATTTCTAAAATATAGGAAATGTTGACCGGAATAATGTAATTTTTATATTACCATCCATTTTCATGTCACTGAGCCTTGACATCGACATATGTCGAGCGACATTAGCGAAATTTCGCGACATTTGAAACCATGGTTCTCAATAGGTCCGTCTTTCGTGAAGAGGTAATGGAATTCATGGTTCACTTACTTCTTTGTTATTCTATCACTTACAGCTTTCTGGGATTTCTTTGCCTCTTTTTCTACTGTTTGGGTTTGTTTGTCTGATGTATGTTCGTTTATTCTCTTTTGTTTTGACCTATTTGTCCTATTGGCTATCAGGGGACAATGTTTTTGGCAATGGTTTCCTTTGTGATCTGTGGATGCTCATACCTTCCTTATGAATTTGACTTTAGTGATGCAAGATTTTAACACTTGTAAATGAGTTCAAGACTTCCTCAATGTGTCAGTGGATGCTTGCAGCTTTGTGTGGTCTCTCTTGGCCTGTTATTGGGAGGCTATTTTGGGTATATTGTGCAGTATACTGTAAAACCTTTTGGGACTACTTTATAACCCTTCTTTCTGGTCCTGGGAAAAATCAGGTAAGTTCTTAGTCCAGTCATTCTATGGCAACCTATCCCTCATGCCGGAAAACATTTTCCCTTGTGCCAGAATAAGGTGCTCCCACATTCCATCAAAAATAGCCTTCCTTGTTTTGGAGTCCTTGAGCAGCAGCTCATGGAAGATGCTTAACTAAAGACAAGTTATTCAGAAAAGGGTTGCGCCCCTGTCAAATGCTTTATGCTCCTTATTCCAAGAGGTCCTAGAGTCCCCAAATTATCTCTTCATCCACTGTAAAAATTCATATTTCATACCAGCTGTAGGTAATGGCAGTTTCCTGCTTTCACTTCCATTTTTGCTTTCTAGAATTAGTGATTCACCTTCTGCAAGGTTGGGCAACTAAAGGACTAAACAGGTGGGGTAACTATTATGGAATACTTTTCCAGTTGCTATCATCTGGTTAATTTGGAAGGAAAGAAATCATCGTTTTCTTTGGCAACAAATTCTGACATGGAGGAAATTCAAAGTTATCTTATAGTCCTGCTTTGTTCCTGGATGGGTGTATAAAGAATATTTCAGGGTGTCCAACTAAGTTCTTTTTTGCAAGCTGGACCTTTTTTTGGTTGAGTTTTCTTTTTTGCGTATTCTCAATTTACAGGTTCTCATTGTACGTGGGTTGATGTGCTTTCTTTTGCATAGTTTAATCAATAAAATACTTTACCTTCAAAAAAAAAAAAAACTCATGAAGTCATAATTAATACAATTTTTTTTTGTATTAGTTGGATAAACATGGTAAAATCTTGGTTTTCGTGCATGAATGAACTTTTTAACTTAAAATATTTATAACACATTTAAAATATTTTGATCATATATGTAGAGTAAGAAACTGGATGGAGAAACTGTTGGATTTTCTCAGTTAAACAAGTGGACAGAAAATGAATCATTATCTCACCTAATAAACAATGCCCAAACAGGTTTTAAATCTCATTTGGAACCAAGCTCAAAATTGAAGCCAAATTTCAGGCTATAAAGGTTTCTTCTAAATTTCAATCTTTACTGATTTTGTTAATTTAGATCTGGTCAAAATTCCTAAATAGCTCAAAGTTGGTTTTCTCAAATAACCTTGAGACAACCAGATTTTCTCAGTGGAGTGGTGACCCTAAACTTTGATGGAAGTGCTTTGGGAAATCCTGGCTTAGCTGGAATTGGAGGCATAATAAGGGACGAAAGGGGTAACATATGCTGGACCTTCAGTGGTCCAATCGGACTGGCTGACTCCACAAAGGCTGAAGTGATGGCAGCTCTCACAGGAATCAGAATAATAAAAAATTTGGGAATCCAGAACTTAATCATTGCAGGTGACTCAGCAAATACCATAAAATGGTTAAGGGATAAGGGGGACCTTGGAGACTGAACCACTACTTGGCAGAGACTTGGGACTCCTTGGACTGTTTAAATGCAAAATTAGCTTGGATTCCTAGGGAACTAAATCATATAGCAGATGGCTTAGCAAAATGTGGCGTGTTTTTGGATCATTTTTATAGTGCCAAGCTTCCTCTGTAATCTTTTGGGGTTCTTCCCCTGTTTTGTACATCTTCTCATGTACCCTTTATTCCTTCAATGAAATCTGGTTAAATTTCTCTAAAAAAATCCTAAAACACTCAAAAATTCTTCAAGAACATTTGACCTTGATTATAAGTGGTAGCAAGGAAGAGGGGAACACCTCAAATAATTTCTGAGTTAATCCTTTATGTTCAAAAGAAGTATTAACTTTAGGAGATATTAAATTGTGAAAGCACTTAATAGTTGCAAAGCCAAAAAAGAAAAAAAAAACTTAAAAAACAAATTGCATAACTAAGTTCTCAACTAATAAAATGTTAATAAATATAAATTTGTACTTATTATTGTGTTTGTTTTGATTAGAGAAGTGATTTGCTTATGCTCCACAGTGTAGTTTTCCAAGTGGATAGGCTTTTTGGTGTCTGTCATTATCTGGTTTTGGGGTGTTGGTGGTTCTTGCTTCTATTGTTTAGTCTGTTTTAAGTAGTTTTTCTCTATCTTTCCAGATATTATTAGGAGTTGTCAACATGGTTCTTTGCCTGGAAAGAAGGATGAGACTTTCTACTCTTCCATTGGTGGCACTCCAAGTACAATCAACAGGTTAAACTACAGTTGTGTAACAGAGTGTCCTGACTTCTCCATGGTGATTACAAGCCTCTTGAACTCCCTTTGTTCTTATGCTTTCATCTATTTTACTGTTCTCTACTTCATCACTCATTGCTGATTTTCTGAACTAATCTCTATTTGTATAGCTCCCAAGTGTGAAATGTTTTTTATCAGAGTTCTAAGTATCATATGTGTTCTTGTTTAGTCATGTGCTGTAGGGGGATTTAAGGGAACAATTTCAGGAACAATGAGAATGGGCGTTGCTGTGGCAGGATCAATTTTCAACCAAGGCTTCTCAGGGTTTGTTATGGCATAATTCTTGCATTTTATTCATATTTCTCTTGATGTTCAGATGTGTAAATGCTTGGTTACTTTATTCCTTCAGTCCACAAGCATGCCAGCAAAGAGGTTTTTCAGCAGGTTCAGGTGGGCTATCCTAGCATGGTTCACATTATCTATACTACGTGATTTGAATTCTTTAACCCTTTTTGGCTTTGAAAGTTCAGTATATTTATCTATTGTATTAATGAAAACATTCTAGAGAGATTTCTTCTTATGTTTAGATATATATTTTTTATTAGAGTCTGTGTCTTAATTGCTATCACAAGCATCATTTTTTCCCTTTGTTTTTTTTTTTCTCTTTGATTGGTAAGAGATGGTTTATTGAAAAGAATAAAGAATGAATTATATATACAATGATGCCAGGTAAATTCTTCTAGGTTGGCTTCTGCCACGTCGCCCTAACTTCCTTTTAAGTTTTAACTACATGGCTCCTTTTACATTACATGTTCCACAGCAGCCCCCAAAATAAATGTCCCCCGTTGACCCCTTGTTTTGCAATTTCATCTGCCAAATTATTGGCTTATCTGATGATTGATAACTGTATCCCTATCCATCACTCTGATAATCTGATTTTATCACCCTATGATGTTTCTGTACAACCATGGGACCAGACCGTCATTTTTAAGCCAGCTCACCACCACTTCTGAATCTCCTTCCACTGCTAATTTTCTATAGTTGAGAGACCTTACCAGCCTCAAACTGCGTGGTACTTAAGTTTATTATGCCCTTGCTTTTCCTTGGCCTGTAGGACCTGATTACCTGAATGCAAGGCCGTGATTGACCTGTTGGCCTCTATAGATCCCTCGTATGCCATATGAGCTTTAGATTTCCCCTGATACAACCATCAAAATATAGTTTTATTGTATTCATATTAGGGAGCCTCCATTGTGAAGGGACTATTTATCTGGCTGTTGAGGAGCCTGCTGCCTAATACCATCCAATTGTGATGTCATCAAAAGAGAATAACCAAAAAGCTTCACCGTTTTAACACAACGAGTCACTTTCAGTGTGATACTCTCAATGGTTTGCACTTCTAGAGTCTAGACTGAGCCTTGCCATTCAAGAGTCTGTCCTTTCTCATTTCCTACATAGTCCATAATACTGCACTCCTCATGCATCCCCAGATGATCTTCCCTCTTTTCCATGGTAGATTCAAATAAGTAGAATAGAAAGCCAAGTAATTATGTTGAAGTCCACCTACACCCGAAAAGAGCAAAGAACCATTCCCAAATTTCAATAGCAAAGGGAAGGAGATTAACAAGTGGAAAGTATCTTCTCTGTTTACAAGGAGACAAATTTTTGAAGATAGACACCTGTCTGGTCTTTTCCTCTGAAGACTTTTCGAGCTATTACTTTTCACTTTTTTAGGTGATGCACTTCCTAACAAAAGAGTCTTCCTCCATCTTCATCTTCAACTGTCATCCATCCCATTTGTAAGATTTTTGCAAATAAATATTAACTTACCATGAAATTCAGTTGTTCACAATAACGTGCACATGCTAGGGTATAACCAGTGGCCTAAGTACTACCCAATTTGTAGGAAAAAGGAATAGCAAAACCAGAAGAAACATTTTTTTTTTCTGAGAAAAGGTAACTTGTATTCAAAACCTCAAAAAGGGAAGGGATGTACATGAGAAGATGTACAAGAAAGGGCCATGGATACACAAAAAAGAACATGAGCCCAATCTAAAAAATTGGCATTGTATTTTTCTTTGCATTCTTCTTTTTTTTATTTTAATAAAATTTTCTTTTTATTATCAAAAACAATGGCAATACACTATACACAAAAAAGAACATGTGCTCAATCTAAAAAATGGGCATTGTATTTTTCTTTGCATTCTTGTTTTTTTCTTTTAATAAAATTTTCTTTTTAGTATCAAAAACGATGGCAATACACTATACAAATCCCTTCCCAACCCAGATTTAGCTAAGCTATCAGCAATCTGATTCAACTCCCTAGGGATCCATTTGAAAGTGCAGAACCAGATGAAACAATTGATGACTATTTGTCTGCTAGATATAAACATTCCAACCTTCTGCATATGTCTTAGGATATCTCAAGATAGTTTGGATCTGTTCTGTGCACACTAGTTAGTGATGGCCAGCTGTCCATCCTATGTGTTATGGTTTTGGCCTGTGCACAGGTCAAGTGGAGCTCTGGAGGCTTTAAGCCCTCCATACAGGAGTCCAGATGAAACAGCTCTCTATTGCTGATTGGTGCATTCAGCAGATCTCATCTCTATATCTATTAAATTCTGAGTATATCCATGCTTTAGATTTTCTGGAGCATCTGTATGCATCCATCATATGCTTCTTAAAACTGATTTGCCAAAATACATGTTTACCTTTCCTTACGATGTTGATTTTTAGTGTTTAGTTGTTTTTCCCACAGTGCACTGAGTTTATAACCCATATTACTAATTTTTGTATGAATGTGGTTGCAGAGCTTCCTCCACACCAAGAAATTGGAATGCCTTCTCTCTCTCCTACAATGACAGAGGTATGCACAGGTTAAATTTTGTTATGATGTGGACATTGAGACTGAAAAAGGATCCTGTATTGTCATTACAAAGTAATTGTCTTATGATAGGGTAACATTGCACGATGGCTGAAGAAAGAAGGTGACACGGTTTCTCCTGGTGAAGTACTCTGTGAAGTTGAAACTGTAGGCTTCCTTCTGCTGGTCTTTTGTCCAAGTTTGTAAAATATGTGATTTATGCATTTGACTCTGATATTGATCTGACTTTTACATCTTTTGCCAAGGACAAAGCAACTGTGGAGATGGAATGCATGGAGGAGGGCTATATTGCTAAGATAATACATGGTGATGGCTCAAAAGAGATAAGAGTTGGTGAGGTATTTGTTTTAACTGCTATAAGGACAAAGATGCTAGCAACTGTTGTTTCTCTTTTAAGTGCAAAGGTGGAGCAGTGTAGCTAGCTCCACGTCTAATTTTTACAACACAGAGAGAGTACACACTAATGTAAATATATTGTTGTCATCATCATCATTGTTGTTGTCATTGTCATCTAAGCTTTATCCCAACTATATGTGGTCGGCTACGTGAGTCCTGTTTTACTATTCTGTTCCTTTTAATGCCATATCAAATGTTAAATTCTGAGTGTTTAAATCACTTCTTAGTACTTTGACCAATGTCCTTTTTGGTTTGCCCCTTGCCCTTCTAGCCCTTTCAACTTGCAACAAATCACTTCTTACGGATGTTGCCAATGGTCTTCTATGTACATGACGAATCTATCTTTCTCTATCTTTCTCTCGCTTTCACCTATTGGAGCTACTCCTAGGTTTCTTCCAATGACTTAATTTCTGACTCTATCCTTTCCTTTTCAATTATCCATCTCAACATTCGCATTTCTGCCACTCATTTTTTGGACATGTTTCTTGACTGCCCAACACCCTGCTCCATATAGTATAAAAACTGTTTTATAGAATGTTCCTTTTAATCAAAGTAGTATTTGCTTATCACATTAGACTCCGGATGCACCCCTACATTTTGCCCATCTTGCGCTTAGTCTATAGGCGACATCCTCATCGGTCTCTCCCTTGTTATAAATTATTGAACCAAGGTATTGGAAAAGGTCACATTGAGTTATCTCTTGTTCTTCAATCCTAAGTGAAACCTGATTCGTACTCCTGCTATTATTAAATTTACATAGTATATATTTTGTTTTAGTCCTACTTAATTTAAAACTTCTTGTTTGTAAGGTGTCTGTGCATACACTTATTTTTGCATTTTAATCCTATGCAAATGTACTGTATATTTCTGATATACTTGAATAAAAACATTTTCGGTTGCTGATCAAAAAAGCCATGGCTTCTCTTTTTTATCATCTTTTTTTTATCAGTACTTTTTTTATCATCTTCAGAAATGATTATGTTCTATATTGTGCTTTTGAAATGAGTATTTTTGGTTTGGAAATAATTCTTGTTAGATGTCATTATGTCAATATATTTCCTATTGGCATGTTAGAATTCCTGATTTTTTTCCCTTTTAATTTTCTTGATTTGTTTGCTTGTATGGCTTCACAATGTGGTGATCCTCTTATTTTGCTTTGCTTTTAAAATTCCTTTAGGGAATTTGGGTATCCACATTTGGCATTAAGTAGTAGTCATTTTGGTATTTTTATACACTAATGTCTACTGATTACCAAAAAACAATATTAATGTCTAATGTCTCCCTCTTACTAGAATGAACAACCTAGTTATGCCAATTAGTTTTTGGTATCTGATAAACTATAGTTCCACTATAGCAGCTTGACCATTCTTGTTTAAAAGGGGGAAGAGCATCACGATATTGACATCTATTGAATGCAATTAATTTTGATATTCATGTCCATTGCAGATGAAATTTCACAACGTTTTAGTATTTGGAATTGATCTTCAATTTGCATATGAGATCCTGTTTGTTTTAGTTGATATTTGTCCCCTTGCGGTTCCATGGTGTTCCACTTCTTATTGACTGTTAACAAGATCAAAAGAGATCTCATTAACAAAAAGGATAAAAGAAATTCAAGCAACCCTTCAACTGCCCCCGCCCCAATACTCCTAATAGTTACTACTCTGGAAGGGCCAAGCTTGATTTCAAATCAACCCATACCTACATAATTGATAGTGGTAGCTCCTTGGCTGATCTCCTAATATGGAAGAAGGAGATGTACCCTCCTGATCTCCTTGGCTCCCAAAGATCTGCCCTCCTGGATAAAATGAGACTATGCTGCATTCACTTGGTATTCTAGATTCTTAGTTCTAATTTCTCAGTGTCGTCATGATTTTTTAAATCTACAAACAATAGCTTGATTTTCTGTACTATGTAGTTCAATGTTTTCATTCCTTTTAGACCATGGATGTTAATGATATTAAAGCATGTGAGAATTATATTGATAAAAACAATGGAAGTTATTCATTAAATTTTAAATAATATTGTTTATACAATAGTTGGCCACTTCAAGTTATATGATAACCTCTTTTCTATTACTTTTATTGTGATACTTTTTAAGATCTACAGTTGTACTAACACTAGGTACTTGTATGTGTTTCTAAGGTGATTGCAATAACTGTTGAAGAAGAGGATGATATTGCCAAATTCAAAGATTACACACCTTCAAAATCTAGTGATGCTGAGGGAGTTAAAAAGTCGTCCAGTTCTACACCACCAAAAACAGATGTCATTGAAGAGCCTGGAAAATCATCCGACCCAAAGATTTCTAATCCTAGTGAAGCTCCTATGGAAGAAGATCGTATTTTTGCCAGTCCTCTTGCAAGAAAAATGGCAGAAGATAACAATGTCAGTGACTTTAGTTGCTCTCTTGAAGCTCTGTTCTCCAGTGTGCTAATGAGAATTATATCTACTTTTTGTTGCTACTTGTTCTCTCTAGTCTCAAATATAACATTTAGATTTGCTTTTCTAAGAGCTTGTTTGTGTTATTTGGACTTTGCCTGTACCTTATTCTTTATTTTCGTTTTTCTTGCCTTCTTTTAACTACAGATACCTCTTTCAAGCATCAAAGGGACAGGTCCTGATGGTCGCATTGTAAAGGCTGACATAGAAGATTACTTGGGTACACCTTTTTCTGATGCTTCTCTTGATCCATTTGTCAATTGTTATGTAGTCCACATTTTGGATTTTTGCATAACTTTATATCTTTTGACCTCAAAGGGATATGGTATTAATATTTTTGGTGTAATGTGGTCTCATTTTTTTATTGTTTCTCATTCAATATGGTTCCTTTTGTTTAGTTACTCAACAATTGGATTTTATAACTGCCTTGTTGGTTTCTTTAAAATGTCTTTTATTTTTTCTTCTTGGTTTCTGGTTAAACAACACTTTTTTCCCTTCAGAACTAGATAGAAAGTGGACTAGGGGATTTGGAAAACAAGAGGAGTGAAATGGTGTTCAGCTCCCTCATGGGGAGCATCCGGAGGAATAGTAACTCTATGGAGAGAGGATGTTGTAGAGCCAGTAGAGGAGCTGATAGGTGATTTTTCTGTATCCCTAAAATTCAGGATGGTGGAAGATGGTTTTACATGGGTCTTAACAAACATGTACAGGCCAAATAATTATAGAGAGAGGAATGAGTTGTGGGAGGAGCTTTATGGCATCCAAGGCTTATGGGAAGGCCCATGGTGTCTAGGGGGGGGGGGACTTTAATGCAATAAGATTTACTTCCGTGTCAAATAATCCTAGATAGGCCACAACTACTAGTATGAGTAAATTCAATGATGTCATCAATTCCTGTGAGTTATGAGAGCTTCTCGTATTACAAGCTATCTTAACTTGGTCCAACTTCTAGGAAAATGCAACCTACTCGAAGCTAGATAGATTTTTTTTCAATGAACATTGGGAGAATCATTGGAGAGGTTTGGTGGCTAAGGCTTTACCTAGGGTTACTTCCGACCACTGCTCTATAGAAGTAGGACAAGAACCACTTGGAACCGGACCCAAACCCTTCAGGTTTGAGAATATGTGGTTACCACATTCGAATTTCATGAATAAGGTTAAGGAATGGTGTGGAGTGAAGAAATGAGAGGGGGGGGGGGGGTGAAAGGTTGATGATCGCAAGAAATTAAAAAGATTGAGATCCAAACGAAAAGAATGGAATAGGGATCAATTTGGAAGTGGAGGAAACAAAAGCTACCTTATTGACTCAGATTGAGATTCTAGATGCAAAAGAGTCCCAAAGATTGATGAGTGGGCAGGATCGAGAAGTGAGATGGAAACTGAAAAAAGGAATTAGATGAAGTCCTATTGAGGGAGGAGATTTCATGGAGACAAAAATCAAGGCATAAGTGGATCAAGGAAGGGAATGGGGACACCAAATTTTTTCATGCTATGGCCAATGGGAGAAGAAGGGAAAATTTGATAGTAAATCTCGAGGTCGATGGAGTTAACATAACCTCTCAAGAGGAGATTGCTAGTTGCTTTGTGGATCACTTCAAATCAATCTTTCAAAGACCTCTGGAGGTTCGGGAGAGAGTGGAGGATGTGGATTGGCCAACTTTGAATGAGACGGATAGGAGATGGTTAGTAAGAACTATTGAGGAAGAGGAGATAAGACATGTTGTCTTCTCTATGGATAGAGCTAAGGCTCCAAGACCAGATGGTTTTACAATGGCATTTTACCAAGTCTGTTGGAATATACTCAAAGAAGATCTAATTGGGGTTATTAGAGATTTTGAGGACAAACATATGGTGAATCCTGGAGTCAATGCTACATTCCTAGCTCTTGTTCCCAAAAAGACTAGTGCTAAACATCCCAAGGATTTTAGGCCGATCAGTTTGGTGACTAGCATCTATAAAATATTGGAAAAAGTACTCTCCAGGAGGATCAAAGCAGTTCTACCTACTCTCATTAGTTAAACACAAGGAGCTTTTGTACATGACAGACAAATTGTAGATCAGATCCTCATAGCAAATGAAAGTGTAGAGGAAATGAGGAGATTAGTCAAGGATTTGTGTGCAAACCGGATTTAGAAAAGGCTTATGATCTAGTGGGCTGTAGTTTTTTATTGGAGGTGTTAAGAAGGCGAGGATTTGGGGACAAATGGTGTAATTGGATAAGTGGTTGTCTAACTTCCTGTCATTACTCATTCTTAGTGAATGGAGTAGTCAAGGACTTCTTCCCAACCAATAGAGGCCTAAGACAAGGTGACCCACTCTCTCCCTTCCTCCTCACACTTGTTGCTGATGTGTTTAGTAGATTGATCTCAAAAGTAGATGAACAAGATCTAATTAGGGGTTGGAGATTAGGAGGGAGTAGCGTTCCAGTGACCCACCTTCAGTTTGTAGATGATATTATTATTTTTGGTAAGGGAAGTGATTTAAGAAATATGGACAATCTTAAGAATCTAATAAGGGTCTTTGAGAATGCCTCCAATTTGAGGATAAACCTTGAAAAAAGTTGTGTTGCTGGAATAAATTTGGAGGATGGGGAGGTAGAGTCCATTGCATCTTGCTTAGGTTGTGCCACCTCCTCTTGGCCTTTGACCTAGTTAGGGCTTCCCTTAGGTGCAAATTCTAAAGAGAGTAGCCTCTGGTCCCCTATTGTGGAGAAATTTGGGAAATATTTGGCAGCTTGGAAAAAGAATTACATCTCTATAGGGGGTAGAGTGACTTTGGTTAGGGCAACACTTGCCAACCTTCCAACCTACTTCCTTTTAGTCTTTAGGATTCCCCCAAGGGAGGCTAAGAAATTGGAAAAGGTAATGAGGGATTTCTTGTGGGAACTAGGAGAGGTGAAGAAGGATCATCTAATTAGATGGGAGATAGTCAATAAAAGTAAGGAAGGAGGTTTGGGGTTAGGAAACATAGTTCAGAAGAATGAAGCTCTATTAGGGAAGTGGCTATGGAGATGGCCTGTGGAGAGGGAGAGATTATGGCATGAGGTGGTGTTAAGCATTCATGGTTGCTCAAAGAAGGGTTGGGATGCTGGGATATCTTGTCGGGCTACTCTCAAAACACCTTGGAAGACTATACATGGTATTCTCCACCGCTTGGGTTTATCAGGTATGAAGCTTGCTTTAGTACTTCTATTTGATTCTGGGAGGATGTTTGGGTGGGTACCAAACCCCTCGCTATCTTTTTCCCTCTCTCTATTCTCTCTCCCTTTACAAAAAATGAGCTTATCTCAAAGTTTCTCGCTAGTCTGGTACTTGTCTTTAAATTGGGACTTTGGCTTTCGTAGGGGATTAAGGGATGCTGAATTGATTGGTATTTCTGAGTTGCTTCAGTTACTTGAGTTGGTTTGTTTGGACCCCACTAAATCTGATCAAAGAGTTTGGATCCCTCTTCCAAAAGGGACCTTTACTTGTGCATCCTTTCTAAAATCCCTCACTGCCAGCTCTAGCCCTCGGGTGTTCCCAATTAAAGAAGTTTGGATAAGACCTATTCCCCACAAAATTGTTGTTTTTTGCTGGGAAGTATTCCGTGGGAAAATTAACACTTAGGAAAACTTACAAAAAAAGAGACTTTATCTTTGCCTCTCCCCTAATTGGTGCTTCCCAGAATGAGAACTGTTACCATCTATTGATTTCTTTCTCCTTTGTTGCAACCTTATGGAGTTGGAGCTTTAGTTTATCTGAATGTAGGTGGAACCCGCCGTCTGATGTAAGTATGCTGTTTAATCCATCTACTTTTGGGTGGCATATGAAAAGAGGTAAAATCATGTGGAAATGTATCAAGGCAGCTATATTATGGACTGTTTGGTAGGAAAGGAATGCTAGAACTTTCCTAGAGAAGGAAAGAAGTATTGCTGAAGTGAAGGACTGTATCTTAACTAGAGTAATCCATTGGCTGAAGACATTGGCCCTGTTTGCTGAATTCACCTTCGTTGATCTTTGGAGGAATTGGGTAGAAGTGGCTAATACCTCCACTAGGAAGAATAGAAGGGTGGTAGAGTGGGAACCTCCTTCAAAAGGTGCCATTAAATTGAACTTTGATGGGAGCAGCCAAGGTAACTGTTGTGTAATTTATGCACAGTTAATTCAGGCAAGTGTACCTTAGTCAAATGTGCGTATAATGATGAGAAAAGTGTCGATCCCACAGAGACTAGANGGGGGGGGGGGTGAAATAGAAAGGGGTCAGATTTCGCAAGAAATTAAAAAGATTGAGATCCAAACGAAAAGAATGGAATAGGGATCAATTTGGAAGTGGAGGAAACAAAAGCTACCTTATTGACTCAGATTGAGATTCTAGATGCAAAAGAGTCCCAAAGATTGATGAGTGGGCAGGATCGAGAAGTGAGATGGAAACTGAAAAAAGGAATTAGATGAAGTCCTATTGAGGGAGGAGATTTCATGGAGACAAAAATCAAGGCATAAGTGGATCAAGGAAGGGAATGGGGACACCAAATTTTTTCATGCTATGGCCAATGGGAGAAGAAGGGAAAATTTGATAGTAAATCTCGAGGTCGATGGAGTTAACATAACCTCTCAAGAGGAGATTGCTAGTTGCTTTGTGGATCACTTCAAATCAATCTTTCAAAGACCTCTGGAGGTTCGGGAGAGAGTGGAGGATGTGGATTGGCCAACTTTGAATGAGACGGATAGGAGATGGTTAGTAAGAACTATTGAGGAAGAGGAGATAAGACATGTTGTCTTCTCTATGGATAGAGCTAAGGCTCCAAGACCAGATGGTTTTACAATGGCATTTTACCAAGTCTGTTGGAATATACTCAAAGAAGATCTAATTGGGGTTATTAGAGATTTTGAGGACAAACATATGGTGAATCCTGGAGTCAATGCTACATTCCTAGCTCTTGTTCCCAAAAAGACTAGTGCTAAACATCCCAAGGATTTTAGGCCGATCAGTTTGGTGACTAGCATCTATAAAATATTGGAAAAAGTACTCTCCAGGAGGATCAAAGCAGTTCTACCTACTCTCATTAGTTAAACACAAGGAGCTTTTGTACATGACAGACAAATTGTAGATCAGATCCTCATAGCAAATGAAAGTGTAGAGGAAATGAGGAGATTAGTCAAGGATTTGTGTGCAAACCGGATTTAGAAAAGGCTTATGATCTAGTGGGCTGTAGTTTTTTATTGGAGGTGTTAAGAAGGCGAGGATTTGGGGACAAATGGTGTAATTGGATAAGTGGTTGTCTAACTTCCTGTCATTACTCATTCTTAGTGAATGGAGTAGTCAAGGACTTCTTCCCAACCAATAGAGGCCTAAGACAAGGTGACCCACTCTCTCCCTTCCTCCTCACACTTGTTGCTGATGTGTTTAGTAGATTGATCTCAAAAGTAGATGAACAAGATCTAATTAGGGGTTGGAGATTAGGAGGGAGTAGCGTTCCAGTGACCCACCTTCAGTTTGTAGATGATATTATTATTTTTGGTAAGGGAAGTGATTTAAGAAATATGGACAATCTTAAGAATCTAATAAGGGTCTTTGAGAATGCCTCCAATTTGAGGATAAACCTTGAAAAAAGTTGTGTTGCTGGAATAAATTTGGAGGATGGGGAGGTAGAGTCCATTGCATCTTGCTTAGGTTGTGCCACCTCCTCTTGGCCTTTGACCTAGTTAGGGCTTCCCTTAGGTGCAAATTCTAAAGAGAGTAGCCTCTGGTCCCCTATTGTGGAGAAATTTGGGAAATATTTGGCAGCTTGGAAAAAGAATTACATCTCTATAGGGGGTAGAGTGACTTTGGTTAGGGCAACACTTGCCAACCTTCCAACCTACTTCCTTTTAGTCTTTAGGATTCCCCCAAGGGAGGCTAAGAAATTGGAAAAGGTAATGAGGGATTTCTTGTGGGAACTAGGAGAGGTGAAGAAGGATCATCTAATTAGATGGGAGATAGTCAATAAAAGTAAGGAAGGAGGTTTGGGGTTAGGAAACATAGTTCAGAAGAATGAAGCTCTATTAGGGAAGTGGCTATGGAGATGGCCTGTGGAGAGGGAGAGATTATGGCATGAGGTGGTGTTAAGCATTCATGGTTGCTCAAAGAAGGGTTGGGATGCTGGGATATCTTGTCGGGCTACTCTCAAAACACCTTGGAAGACTATACATGGTATTCTCCACCGCTTGGGTTTATCAGGTATGAAGCTTGCTTTAGTACTTCTATTTGATTCTGGGAGGATGTTTGGGTGGGTACCAAACCCCTCGCTATCTTTTTCCCTCTCTCTATTCTCTCTCCCTTTACAAAAAATGAGCTTATCTCAAAGTTTCTCGCTAGTCTGGTACTTGTCTTTAAATTGGGACTTTGGCTTTCGTAGGGGATTAAGGGATGCTGAATTGATTGGTATTTCTGAGTTGCTTCAGTTACTTGAGTTGGTTTGTTTGGACCCCACTAAATCTGATCAAAGAGTTTGGATCCCTCTTCCAAAAGGGACCTTTACTTGTGCATCCTTTCTAAAATCCCTCACTGCCAGCTCTAGCCCTCGGGTGTTCCCAATTAAAGAAGTTTGGATAAGACCTATTCCCCACAAAATTGTTGTTTTTTGCTGGGAAGTATTCCGTGGGAAAATTAACACTTAGGAAAACTTACAAAAAAAGAGACTTTATCTTTGCCTCTCCCCTAATTGGTGCTTCCCAGAATGAGAACTGTTACCATCTATTGATTTCTTTCTCCTTTGTTGCAACCTTATGGAGTTGGAGCTTTAGTTTATCTGAATGTAGGTGGAACCCGCCGTCTGATGTAAGTATGCTGTTTAATCCATCTACTTTTGGGTGGCATATGAAAAGAGGTAAAATCATGTGGAAATGTATCAAGGCAGCTATATTATGGACTGTTTGGTAGGAAAGGAATGCTAGAACTTTCCTAGAGAAGGAAAGAAGTATTGCTGAAGTGAAGGACTGTATCTTAACTAGAGTAATCCATTGGCTGAAGACATTGGCCCTGTTTGCTGAATTCACCTTCGTTGATCTTTGGAGGAATTGGGTAGAAGTGGCTAATACCTCCACTAGGAAGAATAGAAGGGTGGTAGAGTGGGAACCTCCTTCAAAAGGTGCCATTAAATTGAACTTTGATGGGAGCAGCCAAGGTAACTGTTGTGTAATTTATGCACAGTTAATTCAGGCAAGTGTACCTTAGTCAAATGTGCGTATAATGATGAGAAAAGTGTCGATCCCACAGAGACTAGATCATAGTACCAAATCACTTTTAAACTAACCTAAGTTGAACTCGTGAATCAATTGAATGAATAAAAACTAAAAGAATTAATTCAAATCCAAGAACTTAATAAAAACTGAATTGATGGATGAATGCAGCTAGGGTTTAGATTTCATTAAATCAAGGTTATATATTTACCTATTTAATCCAACTCAAGACCGAAATTACCTTAAGGTATTTTAAAGTTATTTGCATGTGATGGTGGATTTCCCTAAATCAATTAATAAGCTTTCCCAAGTCATATTAATCCTTTATTAATCCAATTCTACCATCAAATTTCTAAGTGGTTGTCAAAAGGAAAAATAAGCATTAATTTCTTTGGAAATCTCTAATCGTAGAAGGGGATTTGACTCACTAAGCTTCCCTTGATTCCTACACATGAGCTAATCATCTTTCGATATCATAGTCTATTATGCGATTTTTATTGCCTAGGGATCTAATTCATAACAATCCTTTGGCCAATCATGCATGAATCATCAAATCATTAAAAGATTGGCCAATTCTTTTAAAGCATTAAGTACAACAATAAAAATTCCTCATGCAAATAATAAAGGTCTTGAATTGAATTAAACAAATAACTATATAATCTTAAGATCAAAATCCATCTAAACCCTAGCTAAGAGAATTTAGCTAGACATCATTAAATTCAACATACTTAAGAAAATTAAAGGGGAAACACAGCAAGAACACATTAAAGAATGAATAGAATAACAAGAAAACTTTAGCCTTTGAAGGTAGAAGACAAGTGCAACAACTAAGCCTTTGTCCCTCTTGAATTCAGATTCTTCCTCTCCTTCTCTGGTGTGCTGAAATTGCTTCATCTTCTCTTCTGATGTGTTGAGACTGTTTCCTCTTCTCTTCTCTGCTGAATTCTCTCTAAGGATGTGCCCCTTTGCCTTGAGTCTATGGTCCTTTTTATAGTGCAGCCTCCCCTCAATTGCTTCTCAATGCAGACTCCTAATTTAACACAAATTAGGTCTCTTATTCCTATCTATTCTGCACTGCCAACTGCCAGACCCGAAACTTGTAGCTCGAATTGCACTTGGTTGGCGGCGGAATTAGGTTGAGTGATAAACACAAGAGTTGTAGCCCAGCTCTTAGCTTTAATTAGCCATTTGAATCACCTCAATCCGAGTTGTAGGCAGAAAGTTATACCCAATATACGAGAACTATATCAAAACAGGAAATTTCCTGATTTTTGTGCATACATATCAAATCCGATTTCAATGGATTCTCTCCTTCATGGCTACATCATGGAGCATCATTGCTGTATGGTCCTTCCTCTATGATTATCTTGATCAATTAAATTGAACTCCTCCTTAAAATTGCATAATTAAGCTCCAAATCATCTTGCAAGACAATTTCATCATAATTAGTGCAATACCATGCTAATTCCAAAAACATTATTACCAAAATCATCAAGTTAGAGGTATGAAAATATGTACAAATATAGGCTTATCAGTAACCTTGGGTCTTCAGGTGTAGGGGGTGTGCTAAGGAATAAGGACAGCAACATTATTTCTTGTTCTCAAGACTGGAGGGAGTCGGAGACTCCACAAGAGCTGAGTTACTAGCTTTTGTTCAAGGGATCCAGCTTGCCAACCAACTTGGGGTGGAATATCTTTTAATTGAAGGAGATTCTCAAGTGGTAGTAGGATGGCTGTAAAATCTGGATACTGCTATTTGGAGCTATAGAGACCTCCTCGAAAAAGTGAAGTGGCTAACCAGCAATATGAGAGTTGATTTTAAATGGGTAAGCAGGTCGGCAAATACTGTGGCTGATTCCTTGGCCAAGCAAGGGGTATCCAGGGAAGGTCTTTTTGGGGCTAGTTTGTCTTGTTCTAGTAAGTCTGGAAAGCTGTATCTAACTTTTCTGGAGAGGTCGTATCTCGTGCCTCTCCTTGGGATGTTTGTACTCCTTATCTTTGGTGCTTAATAAAATTCATTCCTTTATTTTAAAAAAAAAAACATTTTTTTCCCTTAATGATTTTCTCCATAATGCAGCGTCCAGCAGGAAGGGTGCTCCATCACCAGTCTCCAAGACTAAGGATACGACGGTAACAGGAACTTTAGACTACACTGACCTCCCACATTCTCAGATAAGAAAAGTAATTGTTTAAAGCTTCTTCACTGCTTATATCAAAACAACTACAGATTATCATGGTGAAATGCCTACTTCTCTTTACCGTTTTTTGACAGGTCACAGCTTCGCGCTTACTACTCTCAAAACAAACTATTCCTCATTATTACTTAACAGTAGACACCTGTGTTGACAAGCTGATGGAGTGAGTTGTTTTCTGCCATTTCTGAGTGTTGCTGATAGAGAAATAGTAATTCTTATAATCTAAACTGTTTCTGATGGTTAATGTTCATCCATCCTATTTATGCCACAGTTTGCGCAGCCAACTTAATTCTATACAAGAAGCTTCGGGTGGGAAACGGATATCAGTTAATGATCTTGTTATAAAGGTATCCATCAATTGAGAAATATTGCATTGTTCAAGCTTTTTATCTTCAGTTTAACATGAACTTAAATACATCAGAAAACCCAATATTGGAAGGTAACATGGCACAAAATATGATCACATCCTTTTGATTTTGAAAATGCCTTGTTTTCAGGCATACCATACCACTCATTTTGCTCTTCTTAGTCCTTGTGATGCATCAACTAGTCATTGTGTGCATGCTGACCAATTGACTACAAATGAGGATATGAACTATATTTAAGCATCAACTAGTAATTATGGCATAGAATATTTAAGCATATATTTCCTTTTGCTACATAAAAAAGGAAGGTTTGGTAAGGTCTTTTGTATAGTGATAGCATCCTGCCTGAATACTTTGGGGCCGTTTGGCAAGTCTTTTTGGGAAGATCTTCTGGTAGCTCTGACAGTCAAAAGATAAAGATCTGAGCAGCCCGAAGCTAGTTTGGCTACCGTCCGTCTCTCCATGTCTTTCCTCACAAGAATAAAGCGAGAAAGATGCAAAAAAGCTCCATTTGGAGCTTCCCGAAATCAGCCCAAAATGGGCTTCTCGCGTCTTTTCGGCACACCGACTTTTGGCAGCTAGATCTGTTACGAACCAAACAGAACCCGTGGCGCGGTCTGCCTGGCTTGTAAACAGCTGAAAGACCACACGGAAAGACATGCCAAACGGGGCCTTTATTTATTAAAAAAAAAAAAAAGACAGCATCCTGCCTGAATTGTTTTGAATTGGTTGGTGCTGCCTGTGTCCATATTATGTGCATTCTATACATCTGCTCATGTACACCTTTCGTTTGTCTCATATAATTTGGTTTCTTCGTCAAAATAAATAAATGAAAGGAAGGTTTGCTGGACTATGATAAGACAGGAGAGTCTTTGCTTTTCAGTGATGAGTGGAGGGGGAAGAAAGCAAGGACCCTCATAATAATCCTTTTTTCTTCACATAAAAAAGGTGGCATAAAGGAACAGGGTGACCTTTATTGTTAAATGTGTTTAACTCTGCACACTACCAAGTGGAAGACTTAAAAGAAATCCTCTTGGCCTTTATTATATGCCTCGTTTATATTTTATGTACCTTTACATAGTGATGTGCCATCACAAAAACAAAAGCAATCCGTGTGCATATGCATATAACAACTTTTAAGACATATACAGTAGTTTTAAATACTTGGGCATACAAAAAAGGTAGAACATACTTGTGGCTGGCTAAGTCAACTAGTGATTAGTTAACCTAGTCGATACTTAGTTTACTATGAAGGCTTCATAACGGGTATCAACTGACTAGTGATGGTGCATTTGGTATGGTCCTAAACTGATTGGTCAGCTATCTAGTAAAATCATTTGCAACATTGGTGTGTTTGATATAATCTTCATTTTTTGTGTTTTACCTTTGGGAAACCATAATAACAGGCTGCAGCTTTGGCCCTTCGCAAAGTTCCTCAGTGCAATAGTTCATGGAACAATGAGTACATCCGCCAGTAAGTATGGAGTACAGACATTTTACATTTATTACTTAAAATTCCAGATGTTCTTAATTATGTGCTCTATGACACTGGTTCTGACAAATCTGTGTATGCTGATTCAGGTACCACAATGTGAATATCAATGTTGCTGTGCAGACGGATAATGGATTGTTTGTCCCTGTTATCAGGGTGGGTCATGGCTTCATCTCAATGTTATTGGAAGGACTATTAGCCTACTTATGTAAGGATGTATTTGAAAAACCATCAATACTTTGTACTGCAGGGTGCTGACAAGAAAGGATTGTCTAAAATTGCCGAAGAAGTCAAGTATTTGGCCCAAAAAGCCAAGGAGAACAGTTTGAAACCTGAGGACTATGAGGTGCTTGGTGCTTTTAAGCTCTTAACATGGTTGCCAGTGGTGACTGATTGCCTAATGGTTATGGCCACATTGATGATATTAATATTGAGTTGATCGCTTTTGCAGGGAGGCACATTTACTGTATCTAATTTAGGAGGACCTTTTGGGATCAAGCAGTTCTGTGCAATCATCAATCCTCCACAATCTGGAATTCTTGCCGTAGGGTCAGGTGAGACTGAAGCACACCACCTTACTTGCATCATACTTATAGCCTGTTGGGACCACTAATGCTCTTCTTTTTATACTTAAAGTGATAATATTTTGTGTTATATAAATTATAAAATATTTCAAAGAATTCTTGCCTTATTAACCATGTCCAGCATAGACGTGTATTGGCTTCTAGACATCAAAGGAGGAATAAAAAATAATTTGCTCCCTTTGCCTTGTGAATCGATCACACTAAAAACATTGAAAAATCTTTTAGGATTGAGACCGAGGACACCAATTTTTTGTTCAGTTTTCCCTATCACTTCTGGGACTGGGCTGGCCCTATCAAAGATACAGTTTTTCCATATAAATTAAAAAAAAAAAAAGATGCAGTTCTTCCATTCCTTCAATTTCTGTACCAACAATGAGATATCGATGCCTTAATTACATTTTATTATTTCATGACTGCTTTTACTTGTTTTGAGCAGCCGAGAGGAGGGTCATACCTGGTTCTGGGCTCGAACAATTCAAATTTGCTTCCTTCATGTCAGTTACACTAAGCTGTGATCACCGTGTAATTGATGGTAAGACACTTGGATACAAGTTTTTAATGTATTAGATTAAACAAACCTAACTTTCCACCCATTTAATTGTTGTTTAGGTGCAATCGGCGCAGAATGGTTGAAAGCATTCAAGGGCTACATTGAGAATCCAGAATCCATGTTGCTTTAAGTTGATTGATACTTATCTTTTTCAGAGAATTTTGTCGATTATTGATCCAAACAAGGGACATAATCTGATCCCAACGTAAGTTTGAATCCATTTGGCATGGATTCAATCAGGAAGAATATTTCTTCCACCTAGCTTTCCTCAATGAGATAAGGTTTCATATCTTACATGCATTCGACAAAGGGGGATGAGGCACTGGTATTGATGTCGAACCTTGATAAACTGGTGTTTGCTGTATAGAGTGTAAAAACCGGACAGCCCCTAGTTCTAATAAAAAAAGTCACTTCCCCTGCTTCCTCTTGATGACAAACAAGTGCCCTGCTATTACCTTGATTTATCAAAGACAATGTCATTCGATTTAGTGCTATGGTTTTTTATTTTTCTCAATATAATTGCTTTTAAGAAATTAATACATTGGGCTTGAAAAAAAAAAGAATAATACATTAAATGCCACCTTGTTTATAAATTTGATAATTGATTCTTTATACAACTTTGTATTATAATGTTCCCCTTGTAGTAATTATCTCTTTTAATGATATTATTTATAAGTTTTTTCCATATCTTCTCCTTAAAATCTGATCCATCCTTTTGCTGAACCATATATAGCAATTATTCTTCAAATTTTACATAAAAAACCACTATTATATGACTTAATTGTGTTACAATTATTCTTCAAATTTTTGTACCAGAAATTTACCTCCAAATGAATAGCAATTGCCTACGTTATATTAATAGATTACTCCAATGTAGAAAATCAATGCTTAATAAAATGTTTTCTGTTACCCTATACTTCGGGCTTAGTGCCAATTTGGTCTTCGAACTTTAAAACATGACAATTCAGTACTTGAACTTTCAAATCGTGTCAATCTAGTACCTGCTGTTAAAACAGCTATTAAAGTGGCATTTGAAAAGACAAAGATACTAACTTTTTTGAATGGAAGAGAAAATGATTTGGGACTGTTTATTTTTTGTCAACATTTGGATGGTTGATAAAGAAAATTAGATAACACTCGAAGGACATTTCTGTCTTTTAAAATGTCACTTTAATTGATGGTTAACAACAATTACTAGATTGACATGATTTGAAAATTCAAGTATTGAATTATATGTTCTTTAGATGACCAAATTGGCATTAGGCCCAAAGTTCAAGGTACTAATTGAGAATTTTCCCTTAAATTAAACAATAGAAGGTGATAAAGGCTGGTTAATAACTTGATATAGGGATTTCTTGGACCTAAATGCACATTAAATCCTATCCAAACTAAAATAACTAAGGGTCTATTTGGTTTATGGGAATAGGGATCTGGAATGGTCCAACTGTTTGATTGGGTGGGATTAGAATCCTATTCTTATTCTTGGTAGAATGGCATTCAATGTCCATTCCTTTCCTCTTCCCTTGGGAATGAGAATTTATTTAAACTGATTTCAATTCCGATTGCCGTCTGAATCAAGCAGGAAGAAGGAATAAACCATTCCGATTCTGATTCTAATTATGAACCAAATGGATCCTGATTATTTTTTAGATCCATACAATTTCGACAGATGGTGAGGGGATCCTGTTAGTTTATAACAGGGGAGTGCCACCAAGAAGAAAAGAAGAAGAAACAACAGGGGAATGCTGCTGAACCGAAACCTAAGTGGGACCATTCAGCAATGAAAATTTCATCCACTTGGGGAAATGACAAAACATCAGGCACTTCCATAGACCATAGCGTTCCTCGTAATAAACTCCAGTGGCCATTAACAGCCGAAAATGGAATTAATTGTGTAACTGTCTTCTCTGTCAACTTGATCGAATATTCATCCAATGAAATTTGCCTCCAGACGTCATTGTCTGCTATTTCTCAGTCACTTGAAATAAATTCAGTAGACTTCCTGAGTTAACCAGAGAGATGAGAAGAAGTCAAGTACGATAGATGTGTCGGGTTGATCACTTAATTTCAGATCATTTAAGTTTGGAGTTGTGCTGTCTTTTTTTATCCTTATCCTGTAATTTGGTTCGAGTGACAATTTAAGTTCGGATACTGAATTGTCACATTTTGAAGATTTTTCATTTTAAAGTTTGGGGATTAAATTGTCACTGAGCCAAAATACAGGGTATTAATCGGGAATTTTTCTATTTTTTTATATTAAATAACATACATCACCAATAATTTTTCTTTTAACCCCTTTTTTCAAAGTACTGGTTGAGAGATTTGATTTTGTGTCAATACTGAAACAAATCAACTAATACACCAACGAACCAGCCTTCGGTTGGTGAATTATACATCTTATTGAGCCACCACGTGCTTACTGTAATCTGCTGGTGCTGGATGAAGAACCAGGTTTTGGGGAATGTGGACAAAAGACCAGATCATTCAATAACAATATCTTCAGTCTTAAACTAGAGGAGGATCCGACCATGGCACAAGATGCTTATTATCTATCTCTAATGAATGCTGATGCAAATCCATTAGATAAGCATGAAATATTAATAACTACTAGCTTTAAATAATATATCTAAGATAAAGCTGAAGGAATCAAATATGGGTGAAGGCACCCTCCTCAATCCTCGTTGTCCTTTCCCGGAAAGGAAAGTTACTTTAGTTTAAACAAAAGCCCACTTCTAAAGGGGAAAATTTTCTCCACCTAAAAGCCTTGTTTGTCATCAATCGATGCAAGGAAGTTGGTTGCCAAAAATTTCAGACTCGTTTATCATAGATGGATCAATCACTCTGCCATCTTTATATGCCAAAAACCAGACTTCCCTAAACAGTTTAACTAATGAGCATACGATTAAGGGGTATCAATGGACCTGTTTTGGATTGGGCCCAAACCAAAATCAATTTGAACGGATTGGATGGACCAACAAGGCAATGAATTGAACCAATCCAGGCTTAAGGGTCCAAAGTATTTATTGGATTGGTCCTGGTCCATCCATAATAAATTTATATTGGATTGAGCCAATATCTGGTCCACTGATATAAGACAAGAACATGGGTGTCAATGAACTAGGTTTGGGTTAAAACCAATCTAAATTAAAACAAATTTGAACAGATTAGACAGTTCAGACATTGAATTAAACTGATCCAAAATATTCATCGAATTGATTAGACCTGGCCCATTTGTAATGGATTCACATTGGACTGGATCAGATTGGACCAAATCCAGCCCCTACATCATACGACCACTTGATCTATGTATGTTCAAGAAATGAGACTGAAGGTGGACATAATGGAGCTAAGCAATGGACCTCAAAACCCAAAGGAAAGATTGGCATAATAGCTACGAATCGATGACATAATATGGAGCTAATTAAGCACTCATGGAAATGCTTTGATCAATGGATTGTCTTTGTATTTATTTTAATAGGTATATTATACGATCGAATATCACATTTCACATCTGCAGCTACTGCTAAATACTACTAATAAAATCCAAAATGGAAGGAAAAGAGAAGTGTTGACATCTTCCTACCCTTGCTTTAATTTATTGGGGGCTTGGGGATTGGAATGAAGAATTAATGGGCAAAGGTTCTTGGTATAATTATTGCAGTTTTAATTAATACGAAGCATATATACTTGAGACTGCTTTTGCGCTCTAGTAAATCTTTGTTGGGTATAAGTTACCAAGTCGTCTCTGTCAATCTGAGATTGGTCCAGTTGCTCATACCCCCCCCNAGAAAAAAGAAATTTTTTTGCTTTCTTTTGAGTTTTCTAATGACCGTGGACCGGCCATACTGGAAGCTAATATTCCTTCTTTGTTTTCTTTTGGGGGAATTATTTGTACCAAATTAAAACAAAATTTTGGAATATTAAGCTTGCTTGTCTTTCAATTTGTGCACCATTCCTTTTCCTTAATAATTATTATATATCACGTTGGTACAATTCTTGTTAAAATAGGACCCACCAATTGAACAATAGTATTAGCACGCTAATACCCACCTATCTTCCACAATAATAAAAGTTATCTCTCTCTCTCTCTATAAAGTCTAAACTGATCTGTTCTTGGAGAAATTTGTTCTGGGGTAAGCCCATTTTATTGAGGAAGGCCAGAGAACGGGAACAAATGGGATCTGGAGAGGTGAAGTGATAAGGGGGGAGGAGGTGGTTAGTGGGGATTGGAGAATTAGAAATTTAGAATTACAAGAAGCATTGGTATGAGGAATCTGAATAAATGAGACTGAAAAGAGAGAGAGAGAGAGAGAAGCCAAAAGAGATAAACTTTCTATTCTTTTGACTGCTATCATTAAATTATTATGAGAGAACCAATGGTATTGGGAGCTAATAAGCCCACATTTATTCCATACGTAATCAACCATTTCTTCCCGTCTTATATAAAGCCCGAGACACCTTCGCTTCTTCAGCATCAAATGATCAAATCAAGCTCTCTTTATAACAGTTTTTGAGTCGTGGAGAAGGAGGAATTGAAGCTGACGACACAAGGCTGCTTTGTTTGGTGCACAGGTGATACACGCTCTTCTCTCATCTGGGTTTTAAGGGAGGTGACAGAAGAGAGTGAGCACACATGGTTTTTCTTGCATGGAGGTTCATGCTCGAAGCTCTGTGTGCTCACTCTCTATCTGTCACCCACCACCAACCCCGTTGTCTCTTTTCATTTACTACTTAATAATCTGCACTGTGTCTGTGTGCTGTGTGTGTCCATGCATGCAATATATATATTTCAAGCAACCCAGTTCATAATTACTATGATGAATTGGAGATTATTATTAGTAATTAAGGGAGTGCCTGGGAGCCTTTCTACTCACTGTTTGGGTTAGGATGAAAACTCATTCAGCTGCCTTAGTAGGGCAAAGTTATCTTCATCAAATAAAGCTGGAGACTGGAGTTCAGGTAATTAAGTTCCCGGCCGGAATTCCTTCATCTTCCCTGAGCAGAAAGCAGATGACATGACACCCTTTTAAAGTGGCCCGTCCCTGTCATCAAGCTCGACCCACTTGCAGTGAGACTTCATAGAATATCAGAATTAGGGTAAAAGATCGATGGGCGTATATGCTCCTCGCTCAAAGTTCAAATGAGGTTTATAAGTCTATGGTCTAAAGACTCTTAAACGTCTTACAGGGTCAAAGGTCATCCCTAGAAAAAGGTCAAATGTGACAATATCAGGAAACATGATGAAAGTTGTAGGAATCATATCAGAATAAAACTAGCCAAGTCCAATCTGGGTTTGTAGGGATCGAGTTCCTAGATAGACCACTTTGCTTGTTTTGTTTACCAAGGTTATAAGCAAATAGCAACTGCTAGCTAGGAGGAGAAATGTATAGGCAAAGGCAAATAGCTAGCTAGTCTCTCAATACTTGTATATCTGCTTTTGTCAGGCCATGAGTTGGTTCAAGGGGGGGGGGGTGCTAAGCTTGATTTAGAAGTTAAGCCTGGCCAATGGCTGATTGAACCATTTCTGGTGCTACATACTTTTTTCCTAGCTTTCTTCCCTTGTGGGGTCCTCTTAAGGTGGCCTTAAAAAGGTGATCATCATTCAGTAAAACAATGTACTCTCTTGTGTGGAACTTTGAGCAAAGTTGTACTCAAGTAGCTGGCTCATGTCTTGTTCTCAAGGTAGGTGGAATTCCTTTCCAATGCCACACCTGAGCTAGGTATGCATTCAGAGTCAGCAGAGAGGCAAATTAATTGTTTTTGACACCCATTTGTAGTTCCTTACAGCACTGGAGTTTGCTGTAAGGAATTGTAAATTTATTAGTGATTGAAGCTGTTGTTTTCACTTCCAGTACCTGGAAATCTCTCTCTCTCTCTTCCAGCATGGTAATTACCAAAGAGAAAAATCTTGCGCTGAGTGCCAATCCAAGTAGTTCAGAAGTGAACTGAAAAGGCTTAAGGCAAACTAAATTTCTGATTACTTAAACCGGCTATTGCCCAATTAATCTCCACGATGGGCCCATTGAGTGCTGGGCCCCAATCATCCGAATATGAGAGGCTAAGAGTGCTGGGTCCAAATCTCTGGTTCTGCTGCTCACCACACGGTATGTCACAGGCTACGTAACCAATCACAAGCCACTGGAGTTTGGTTATCCTTTCCCACAATACACTGCAGCATTGGGATCATCTTCTGTATTTATATATTATTATTCATAGAAAGATGTTTTCGATGTATAATTATACTGTTCCAAGTGTATTCCCATACTGTGGAACAACTATTATTGGCCTATTAAAAACCCTTTAAACTTTAAGGCTGCATTTGGAAAGGATGTAAATGGAGTGTAAATCTTGATTCAGAGTAAATTTATATTGGTTCAGTTTTGCCTGTACTTGACAATAATGCATTTATGCATTGACAAATGAGAGAAAACACATTTTCCAATACATGTTTACATCAATAAAAAAGAAGTAAATTTGCATTCAAGTGGGTTTTTGATAAAAAAAAGATATATATTTTATTGGAATTTGTGTTTGCATCCATTGCAACTAATAACATGTTTGGGAAGAAGGTAAATTTGTCAATATTGCAAAACTAACCCAACTTTATATTTACATAAACCGTTTTACATATTTGCATTCTCACCCTATTTGCATCATTTCCAAACGCAGCCTAAACAAATTAAATCCTCGTAACCCTAAACCTAAATCTCCAGATCTGTTATTCACCTTACAGTATGTCATGGGTTATGTAACCGATCACAAATAAACACGCCACTGTTCCACACAGTAGGTCCCATGCATGTGAAATACCAGTGTATTCATTCTTAATTGGTTAGTATGAGAAAAAGACAGGGAATGCATTCCCATACCATGGAACAAACTGTTATTGACCTATCAAAAAAGGGTTCAACTATGATACAAGAAAGATATGATATCTGAAAAACTTCTGATCAATTAATCGGTATTATAAATGTGATAGCCAATCAAGTATTATTTATAAAATTCATGGGTGGGTTTTGATTGGTCAAAAATCTTTTAATACCATGTCTTTCCTGTGTCATAGATCTTCCCATAAAAAAAAACATTTGAACTTTAAACAAATGAAAATTTTGTAACCCCAAACCTAAATCTCTGGATCTGCTGCACACCACATAATCAATCATAAGCACAATCACACATAAGCGTGGATCCCATGTATACAAAAATACAAAATAGTGGTGTATTTATTCTTGATTGCATGGTTTTCAAAACCAGACCGGACCGAACGGTCGGACCGGAAAAAACGGGGAACTGGTTAGGTTTTCCCCAAAAACCGAATTTCTCCCCAAAACTGTTGATTTTGGTCAGCAAACCGCTGAATCGGACAGCTAACCGTTCGAACGATTTTGACTGTTTATTTTTTTGTCAGAATGGGCCGAGCATCCGGTTCAAATGGTGGAACCGTTCGACCTGGTAACCGGACCCTTGACCGGTTCAGTCACCGAATCAGTTTTAAAAACCATGCTTAATTGGTTAGGTAACCCGTTACACAGCGTGGCGAGGAACAGATCACAAGTGCATTTCAATACTGTGGAAGCAGCTGTTATTGGCCTACTGGAAAACGTTTAAACTTTAAACAAATGAAATCTTTGTAACCCTAAACCTAGCTCAAGATCTAGTATTACTTTTCCTACTTAAATATCTAATATGACCTATATTTTATCTGGAAAATAATTTGAAATAATGCCTATGGATCGAGCTTTACAACTGGAGCTTTTAATATCGTCTTGGTTCCAAAACTTTAGAATCTTGATGAAGTTATGATAAAATTCTGTAATTCTATGGATCTCTGTAATGACTTTCTATCGTATTCGTAGAAAAAATTCTTGATCAGATCAGATATATTTTTTACCATAAAATTATAACTTTTCTGCAATTCCCATTTGCTAATCTTTATTGGAATATTAATCTTTAAGAGTTGTTTACATGATCTGAATTAATGATACCTTAACTTGCAATAACCAATAACATGGTCATTGTCATTTCTGGTAGGAAAAATGTTACGTACAGTGAAAATTACTTCAATTCCTTGAAATCCTGAAAAGGAATTATGCTCAAAATTGTAAAGAAAAAATGGTAAATTTCTTAAACTATCCTTTGTGGTTTAGCTAATTGACCAAGTGTATTTTTATTGTTTTAAAATTGACTAATGCTACTCCTATTTCTGACAATTGATTAATATTTCCTTTCTCGTCAGTGTCCATTAACGGAAGGATGAAAAGGACTATTTTGCCCATCATTCTTCTTTAAATTTTCAAAATGAAACTTCAGTTTTTGTTCTAAGGTTAAGAAGAAAGGATTAAAATTTCTAAAAGAAAGCTGAAATAGATAGAGAGAGAGAGAGAGAGTTCAACCTCACCTTATTCACAAAATCGACGGCCTCGACTTCTGCTTTATATACCGAATTAACAATATCTTTGAATGCAGGTTTTAGATTAACAGATTTTTCAACACAAACGCCATTGATTAAAGAGAGATGGGGGCCTCCATTGGTGAGAGGTCCTTTGACGAAATCAACAAGTTGACGGCCAACTTGTTGGAGATGATCGATGTTCTGGGACTTGAGGAATGATAATATCTGTGCCAATGTTCAACCACTGGATCCGCAACGTACAAGGCTAGCTCAAACCGAGGTAGATAGAAAAGGGAGAGAAGACAAAATTGGAGCTGTTGGCCTCGTTTAAAGGTGGAGCACTTGGCTAGTTGCAGACATGAATCGGTTTGTACACTCATCGGTAGCCTGAACTCCATTTGGAACCTCGGCTGATAAGTGTTCCTGAAGTTAGGAAGGCTGAACACTGAAGACATGGAAGAACAATGAAGGGCCCTTCCGATTTCCCAAGAGAAAGCGCATAGGTGGTACTATCTGTCGTAGGAGTTCATTACTTGATCTGGATCCTTATGGAGCCTTACCTGTTGACCTCTGAAACTACTCACCGCCGAGCCTTACCTCTTGATCTGGATTCTTTGAGGCTCGGTTCGTTCTTTTGTTTTTTATCATCATTTTTTAATCGTTTTTTCTTTTTATGTTTTTTTTTTCACTCTTCACATGGAGATAAGAGAGAGAAAGATGAGCAGCATTGGGGTGAACCGGTGTAGACATAGGTTAAAGGGTTTTTTTAGGAATGGAGGTGGGAAGGGTATTTTTGGGATTTTTGATAAATATATTAGTCGCATGATATCATATATAATGGAAAATTAATGGATTTTAACGGTACGGTCAAACTTAGTCAATTGTCAGAAATAGTAGGGTAGCATTAGTCAATTTTAAAACAGTAAAGATACATTTGTCAATTAACTAAACCATAAAGATAGTTTAAGAAATTTACCCAATAAAAAATCGCATAAAATTTAGAAATCACATCATTTCGGGGTGTAAACTGTAAACCGTCAAATTGTATAATATTGTTTGGGGCTGCAAATGGATCGAATTTAATCATATTCGAATTGGAGGATTCGTTTAGTCATAATTGAATCGAATTGAAAATATGATTTATTTATTAATTTGATATTTTAATCAAGTCGAATATCCAGATAATTAAATCAAATTCGATGCTTTAGATATCTGCCGGGTATCATATTAAATTCCGATCTTTTGGGTTCTCATCGGATTGGATCAGATATACCCGTGTAAATTTGGTTCGATTGATTTGCAGCCCTAATATTATCTATCAAATCATAAAATGAGAGAGAAGAAGAAGAAGAGGAAAACTCTATGCTGTCGGAAAGACATGATAAGTTGACAACCTAACTATGTAAGGGCTTTGACAGTTTGACCAATCAAAACATACTGCAAATTTTGATTAATACCACTTTGGTTAACACTTTTATGATATCGGTTGATTGGTTACAAGTTTTCCAGTTTTTGAACTTTTTCATGAATAGATTTTCTAGGAGACTGGACTGCTCCTCACACTAACCTCACGGCACATCCCAGCCACACATTGGGAACATTTTCTGTACTTGTTTGTTCTCATTTATGGAGAGGTTCTCAATGCACAGCTGGGATGTGTTGTGAGGAGTAGATCCAGATTCATTTTCAAACCAACATTCTTATATCCCAACAAGAAGATTCAATTCCAATACAAGATTAAATAGAGTAACAACAGAGATGAAGTAAGACATTGTTAACAAATTTAACCCAAGTTGCGAGTTTCATCCACGAGATGAACTGACTTTATTTAACGGTCTGTGTGATAATTGAAACCATGAGTTGAAGGAAAATGTTCGGAGTGGTATATTTTTCATCAATCTAAATAGTTTATTCTGTGGATTGCTCATGATTCAGCAAATTCCCCACAATCAAATCAATAATCTCCCCCTGAAGCGGCCTGTAGTTGAAAAGCAACATCATGGAAGTGTACATTTTCCCCCATAGTTATCATCAGATCAAAGATAATCACTATCAGGCCAAGTTATATAACTATTATGTGTAGAGTACCATCCATATGCCAAGGAGTGTAAATATGTAAGGGGTCCATTTGGTTTACAGTTGGAATCAGAATTAGAATCAAAATTAAAATGGTCTATTTCCATAGCCTGCTTGGTTCAGACAGGAATCTGAATGGAAATTAAAATCAGCTGGAATGGGATTTCATTCCCAAGAGAGAAGGGAATGGCCTTTCTGTTAGATGGGGAATGCCTGAATAAAAAATGGGAATGAGATTCCAATTCCACCCAACCAAACAGTTGGAATTGGCCATTCTAATTCCAATTCCAGACCCCTATTCCCACAAACCATACGTGACCGTAGTTCATAGACCACTACCGTCAACTTCCAGGAGTGCATCACCCTGACCCATAACAATATCTCTATTACAGGCCACCTACCTGACTCAAGGAACTTTACTACAGTATGTTAACTTTTTCTTCCTTGGAAGAGAATCAAAATGTTTTTTTTTTTTATCAATAACACTTTCATTAAATCATCAGTAGAAGATTTACAGGAGGAAGACAAACACACTTATCTTCCAAGAGCCACAAAGCGCCTCATAAAAGGAAAAAAAGAAGAAAAAAATACGACACTAAAGTTACAACTTAGCCCAAAACAGTGAATCCCTTTCTGCCCCTTGCTTAGCTAAACCGTCAGCTAGGGAATTAGCCGATCTTTTAACCCAACATGTCTTAACTTCCATCTCCCGCACCAGCCA